TATGGTCTGTTTGCTATGGTTTTTGTGACGTTCAGCGTGTAGGGACGCACGTGCGCCTAGAATGTCGATGCCAGAGTTATAACCTTTGATGTCCCGAGATGTGCGTCCTTTTGTTGAATTACCTTGATGGAATGCACTTTCAGATGAAATCAGGATCGCCGACTCACTTCAGCTTTTTAAAACACAACTCAAAACTCACCTCTTCACTGAAAGTTTTGCTGAATTTCTTTAAGACACTTTTTACCACTATTTTGTTTATTTTTTTTCCCATTAACTGTTTAGCTAGACACCGCCATCACTTGAGCACCTGTGAGTCATGCATCGGCGGGCTTCACGCCTTAAATTGCCGATAAACGTTGCGGTGTTGGTCTGGTTCGGCTAGGCGTCTAGAGAGTTGTTAGTCTAGGTTCATGGTTTTCTTGTCCGTTTCCTTCCGTTGTTGTCAAGCGCCTCGAGGTTGGTCCAACGGGAGGCGCTATACAAATTGCAAATTTATTATTATTATTATAGCAGTAGGCATACTTACCGTATTAACACATGTTTTATTTTGTCATTTTATTTTCATTTATAGCTCATTCGATTTCACTTATATCAGGAAGTCCAGGAAAAATTGTGTGCAGCTGACAAATGTAACCCAGGTTTCCAATGCCGCTGTCGGAATAAAATTATCACTACCAAAGCTGTTGTCACTTATATTAAGGGACATGATCATAAGTTCTACACTACTGAATTAAAGTTGCGTTCCTGTACGGCTATTGAACTGTAGGAAGAAATATCAGTAGGAATATGTCATTAACCATAGAGAAAATAGAACTATTTTTTGATCCATTTTAGAATAGGGGTGTTGGTTAAGATATAGACAGGAGTCATTACACACCTAGTTAATCCTACTCATATGGTAATTTCTGGTGTTCATAGTATAATTAGCGAAGTACAGTATCAGTTTTTTTTTTATTAATTGTATTATGGAATGGAATGGATTTATTCGGTGTAAACACCAAGGATAGCCCACGAAAGTTTAGAAAAAGACTTATTTCCAGTGGAGTCCTTCTGGTGGTGATTGAACAGTACACTGGGAGACAATCCCCTACTCTTTTCCGAAGAATGTACTGCGTTTACATGGGCCATAAATGCACACGGGACTAACGGCTTAAACGTCTCATCCGAAAGACGGTGCGCTATTGTAACTTGTATTTCAGCCCTCTAGCTGAAACACAATTGAGAGGCAGCTATAGGAATGAACCGGGGACCTAGAGATCTCCACGGTTCAGCGCACACACAGTGGCTACCACCAGATTAGCAGACAGAGCTAAGCAGCTCTCTTTTAACTTTCTCTATTAACTAGGCTAATTATTTATTAGGTTATATTTATTTTACTAATTTTACCATAGAGCATAATCATTATTTATTTAAGTACAGTATATACAATCTAATAACACCTGTATTTATTTTTTACGTAAATGTATTAATTATTATAGTACATTTAATAACATTAATAATACAACCTAACAAAAATAAGTTCACTTAGTTTTTTATTGCATTAACTAGGCCTAATTTATTAATAATAATAATAGGCCTATGTTAGATTTATAAAGCGCTAGGTTGCATTTATTACTAAATTCACTCATAGAGCATCATAATTTCTGTTGTATTTCTTTAAGTATTAACTAGGCTATTTATTTATTAGGTTGTATTTACCCGTATTTATTTTACTTAATTTACTATACTATAGAGCATCATCATTTTTGTTCATTGTACACCCATACCATATGTCACCCTCAAATATAGAAATGAAAAATATTGATAATATATTTAGATTCCATTCAGTGTTTAATCAAATCCAAAGTGTTAGTAAACCCTAAACTACCATGGCCGAAAACCGTGTGTGAAGGCCATGTTTCTCGATTTTTAACCTGATCTCTTGCTTTATTAGGCATTTTAATAGAGAAGCCTCGTGTGTACATCTTAAAAATAATCATTATTATTCATAGTTTATGTTGATACTGTATAAGATTCATCTTGATTGGTTGGAAGAGTCTGTCTTTTACAAATTACCATATGAAAGAACGGCTCGAATTGTCATTTTTCCACAGACACATTTTACATTGAGCTGGATAGGCAAGCGCTTAAGGCCTAGTTCAGACTAGGTGGATAAACCCGGCTCAACTCACCGGTTTTATCCACGTGCCAGTCTGAACTAGGTGGCTTATCTCAAACCGGGCTGTGTTCCTATAGCTAGGCCTGGCGTGCCACCGTGTTTAACTTTTCTAAGCCGGGCTTTAATCGCTGCGGGGGTCTTGCATTGACTTCCGGTGAGATAAGCCACCTAGTTCAGACTGGCACGTGAATAAACCCATTGAGTTAAGCCGGGTTTATCCACCTAGTCTGAACTAGGCCTTGATATGCTTAGGGACAAGCGCGTATTCTATTCCTAGTTATGTTCAGATAAACAATTTTTATCGACACTACTGTACTGGTAAGGTCAATTTACAAACTGATCATCTTCATGATCATTGCCGTTGTTTAAATAATTATTATTGTTGTAAATGTACTGTAATAATTTTTTAATGTATCCATATTTAGAAGGTGACAAAAGGGTTTTTGGTTCTTAATTTACAACTTTTATGATTAAATTCCATTCATACTCAAAAATTAGTGTTTAGATTGTATCTTTGTTGATCTCTTTTTTAAAGATAATATTTTAATGTGACTAGGTTATATATTCTATTTTCATAATGGATTTTTCTCAAGATGGTGACATTATCTACTCTCTGTTAATGTCTCTAATCGTCCGAATTAGGCATCTAATTAGCGTAGCAAATCGAAGTATAGCTTCGGGGGCGTCGCCCTGGAACACCCACCAGCTTTTCCCCTAGACCCAACTGGGTGCCTCCGCTCAGCTGGTCCCCAGACCCCCTGCTTTTGGGGTCCTGGCAGCTTTGCTGCTCTTGGACCGGGGGCCGCTCTCGGTGGCCCTGTCTATGGTCCGACGGGGGCGGAGCCTGTCCGAGAAAATGAGTTTATGGTATTTCGTATTACCTATTGTGGAGTCCAGGGGATATTGCCTATGGAAACTTTGCAGCTTTTTTGTCATTTTAATCTGTTGGTTAGTAACTTTTTATTTGGCTGCTGATGGGATTAGGGATGGGGTGGTTACAGTGCCCCTTTTGCCACCTCTGGATATTCAACATCTAGTATCAAAATTGCGAAAATTATGCTAACATTTCTATAGCAAACAAACAAATATCATGGTACTTAAGATTCCATACGTTTTAACAAATAAAGATCAAAACAAACTGTGTTTTATAAATTATTTGTATTCAAACATCTTTTGACCGAGCATCGTGGGGAAAAAAAAACAAAAAAAAAAAAAAACAACAAAAAAAAAACCAAAAAAAACCCAAAAACGAATGGCTTGTAAAAAAAACCAAAAAAAAAAACCAAAAACGAATGGCTTGTACGCAGTGAAGAAAATTAATTTCGAAAATCTTAAAGTTATTGGAACCTCATACATTCTACTGTTCATTATACTGTATGTTCAATTATATGTCAAATTTGCGAGGATAAGTGCTTCCTTGAAATTTGCTACTGAATATTTGTTAAAAATCAATAAATTCTTACCATAACCACTTTTTAATTTGTTTATTTCTCTCCCCCTAATAAGGGTCCCTTCGTGTCTGTGGTCTGTGCTACCCGTTAACACGTTACCAGCAACCCTCGTCGTCCATCAAAGAGGCTGTCTGTACCAGTACACCGGGGTATCCCCCTACTCGTCTCAAATGATGTACTGGGTTGTTATAGTCACACATAAGCCACTGTGTATACTGGGCCTACGGTTTATATTCCTTATCCGAAAAGACTTGATCTACCACCAGAACCATAGGCGAGCGTGCCGTTTGAACGAGCGCCGATATGGCAGTAGTGCGGCGCCTGCCTTAGCCGCTCGGCCATTAGACTCGCTTAAATAAATATCATGTTTGGTTAAAGCCGGTTTTCCACTAGTCGAATTTATTCGCGCGAATCGAAAGCGTCGTTCATGCGTATTCACATTTCTATCGGAGTTTTCGCTTCAGCGAAATTAGTACCGTAGTTCAAACAGTTTCTACTTTTTGCGAAGCGAAAAATGTGCGCAACCAATCAGAGCTCAGAAACCGAACCGACACTTTCGATTCGCGCGAATAAATTCGCCTAGTGGAAAACCGGCTTAAAGTCTATGATTAAAAACTGTTTTCCGTTCCACACCTACGACGAGCGCTTTAAAATTGAACGATGGGAGCCTTTTATCTGACAAGGCATGCTGGTGTCACGTGGTACGTACGTAAATACAGTAGAAAATTATTAGGGTCGGATCCATAAGTGTTCTGCAGAGGATTGAAAATTGTGTTCCTATCGATAATGCATTTTAAGAGCAAATTATTATATTTAGGCCTATAATTGATTTAATTTCAATAATAATTAATTAAAAATATAATGCCCCTGGAAACCGTTAGAGTAATCCTGTAATGGGACATTACAATCCAAACGATTCTTCTCAGAACCGAATGCCATCAATTAAGATTTGAGCATATGCCACATGGGGTACCGAAAGCATAATATAACCATTATAGCCAATTCGCAATGCAAACCTTAAAATAATTTTAATTTAATTTCGTTAATTGCTTTTCCATATTGTTAATTATTCTCTTTATTTAGGTCTATTGATACTTTTGGCAGTTTGTCCCGTATGCATTTCATAAATATTCTTGTTACTATAATAATATTTATTTGGACTTGCACTTCTACATCAGTGGCACACTTTGAAAAACAAAGGTGCGTCCGAAACACAAAAAAAGACAAATGATTAGAAGATAGGCCTACATCAAATTACAAGAACAACTAAAATTTAAAACTAACCCATAACAGCTAAAATATTTCCCTTTCTCCCTTCCCTCCTTCCCTGAAGATTAAAATGTTATCCCTCCCCACAACTAAAAAGAAAAAAAAAAATGAGCAAAACTTCACCTCTTATTTGCAGAAACGAAAATCTAAGTACCGGTACCCTTCTTCAATCCCCACACCATGCATTTACCCCTTCCCCTTAAAAACCTAAATGACATCAAAAATAGTAACGCAGGAAGGATAACAAATAACGTGACGCCATTATTTGGTACATTTATTATCCCTTTACTACGGTACTGTATTTACGGAAACCTTCAGTCAATTGTATTTTTATTTGCAATTACACAACATTAGGCCCGTGGCGTATCTATGGGTACTGGAATCGGGAGAGGGTTGATGGGGGCGCAAAAAATGAAGTGGTGGAAGACTCATGATGACGTGAGGGGCGATAGCTGGAAAAAAATAAGGGGGTTTGAGTGGATTTTTAACTACTTGAGCGTTTTTGTTTTTTGTTTTTGTTTTTTTTTTGCTTCGAAAGCTTTTATTGGGTGGGGGGTGCAAGGGGCTGTCTC